CCAGCACCCCCAGGTCCTTTTCCACCAGCCAGTCCTCCTGCTCTCGTGAGCTCCTGGATCTATGATACGCTTGTCCACCCCTGCCTCCAGCGAGCCCGTGCCTTCTGGGAGATCTCTCTGCTGGTTTTGTGTCTCCAGAGGCAAACTGCTCCTTCTGGGACTAAACCAGCCCACGGTGCCCTGAGCCTGTAGGCTGGGAGAGACTTTATTTTTGGGAGATTGGTGTAGTTGATCACCGATGAATTACAGGGAGTTTGGGGACCTGGGTGCACAGCATGTACTGGGGAAACGGGCAAAGTTGGGGCACCTCCACACCTTCTGAGAGCTGAACTTGGCTGAGAGTTGTAAACAACTCTTAGCAGATGGCACAAAACAAAGACAAGAATCAGAAATAGCTGCCGCTTGAGCGTACAATTTTTAAATAGAAAACCTCACAGGATTGTGGCTTTTCAAGGTGTGCATCTGTGGGTTTTTTGCAAGCTTGGGTTGTGGATGTAGCATCCAGGTTATAAGTAAAGGCAATATTTTGCCCATATTGGTTTTGCATTGATCCCAGCTTGCTCCGTTAAACAATAGCTCCAAGACCTTACCACAGTCATCTCCTGGGTGGTGCTCGGGCTGCCCCAGCTGCGGGGTCTGAAGGCAGGAAGGCTACTTAAAATCTACCTCATCCCTCCCACCCCCCAAAAATGTTCAGCTGTGTTGGACTGCTAAAGGTAAAGGGCGGTTCAGATTTGTCACCTAGTGCAAAAATTGATGGTTTTGATCACATCCTCTTATCTTCATTAGCGGATGGTGTGGGATGGAGCCTTTTGGTCTTTACTAAGTAGCCTGTGACTAACCCAATGAACATTTCATCTGTAGGTACGGGGAACTGAAGGAAGTGCTTGCTTGGAGCTGTAGTCCTCTCCACACAGACATTAAGCTCTTTATTCAGAAATAAGGCATACTTCATTTCCCCTGACCTGTTGGGTTTTTTTTTTTTTTCTTTTTTAGTACTTGGCGAAGAGCCTAGGTTTGGATTCAGTGGGGTTTGGCTACCTGCAGACAACCTTTGGTGTCCTCCAGCTTGTGGGAGGTCCCATTTTTGGAAGGTAAGTGAGAACAATTCTCATGACCCTTTTCATAGCTGAAAAAGGCCAGGCATTTTTATACTTTAATAAAAAAACATTTAGTTCTGGTTCATGGTCCTGTTGAAATGTTTGAAGATTTCATAAATGGGCAAGGGGAAAATAAATACTGTAATTAGAAATACCGCAACATAGCAGCAGCCCTTATATTAACTTAGCTATGTTTTAATGACACACATTTAAGCGTAACGATATACTGGGAACAGGCTTAAAACATCAGAGTCCTCAGAGCTCAGGTCCTAACGGCTTAATCCTGCAAACGTTTTATAGCCATGTGTAACCTTAGAAATGTCTTGTGACTGGGAAACCGAAAAAAAGAGGGTATTTGTTAACGTTAAGTAGAGCTGTCAAGGAAAATAATTGAGGGTTGTGTTATTTCTGCAGCTGAATCTCACTGTATCTACATCAGCATTTAATACAAAGCTAGACTTGCATGAATCTTTAAGAACTGATGCATCTCTAAGCTCATCTATCACAATAAGAGAAGAGCGGAACAGACTCGGGTTTTCTGCCTCTCTAGCCCATGGGACGCATGCTCCTGTTCCTAACAAAATGTAAACGTCCCAAAAAAATTCGAGTGGTGGGGGAATGCATTCCCAAAAAGCAGAAAAAAATTGAAAGAGCAGTGTAATCCAGTGATAGGAAACTAAAATGAGGCTGAGAAAATCTAGCTTTTCTTCTTAGACCTGCTACTGATCAACAAAGTAATAAATGGTTACGGAGCTGGCGTGTGCCTCAGTTTTCCTGCATGGGATTTACCATTCCGGTTGATGTAGATTGTGAGCTCTACAAGATCCTCTGGTACGTGGGGTGTAGCACTTCAAGGATCTGATCTCCAACAGCCCTTGGACACTGCCATAATACACATTTTAAAATTAATAACAGTAACATTAAATTCTCCAGTGCAGCTTGGAAGAAAATGCATTCCTAAGAATGGAGATGGTGCAAAGGGCCCAATTTGAATGCTTTTTCTATTAATATACAAAACTAGAGTAATATTTCGATTCTGGATCTGGTGCCATCTGAAATCTGGTTTTCCTCTGTGCATGTCATTCACTGATGTCCAGAAGAGATGCTGAAGGGAAGGAAAACGGCAAACCAGAATCTGTCTGGGTCTGGGCTCCCACTGGTGTAGATGGGACTGAAGGTGTATATTGCCAGATTGAAGCCAAAATTTGCAATGTAGGTTTGAGATAAGAAGGATTTTCCTAGTTGTGAGGCTGCTTTGACCTCAGTGTGAAGGTAGCTAAAGAGAAAAAGGGGATAAGAGAGAGAAAAATGTGTAGGTTAGGTCAGTTTTCCTTGTGCTTCTTGCCTGATGCTGCTAAACAGCCATGAGCAGACGAAGCACTGAATTTGATCTTAAGGAACAAAACCAAAAAAGCCCTGGACGATCTAGTTAATCATGGTCTTTGGGTTACAAACAGCTAATATAAACTTCCCTGGCTTTCATGTAAGCAGAGAAGCTTTGACCTGTACCTCTTCCTTAACACAAACCCCTTTAATTACTTATGCTTGGCTTTGTAGACCAGTCTTGGCATTTTTTTCGGTTGATCCCTTTAGTGTAAGCACAGCTAATTGCTATGCAAGGTAACATTCATCTGCTAACTGTAATATGCAACTTCAATAAAAAGAGGGAAGGAGGAATTAGAGTGAAAAACTTTATCTAAGACCTATTTTATGGTCATCTTAGTCCAAATTGCTCAGAACCCTTTCTGTGGTACTCTTGGACTTTGTCCATCTTAGCTTTTTAAAGTATCTTGGAGTTGAATAAAACCTGAACCAAAACCTCATCTGGCTCTTTTGGTTTTTTTCCTCAAATAGAAGCAAACCTGAGTCACTACTGTGAAGATTTTATTGAACATAAATAGAAAGCTAGCTATTTATTTTCTTTAAGTAGTGCTGAATGAGAAACGTTGCTTTGAACATCCTCTGGAAAGACACTGGAATAACTTCTATTGCCATTGAACCTGAACTAAAAAATTAGCTAGCCTGATTCCCTGGTCTGAGCCAACTCTAAGAGTCGCAAAGGAAAATTTGAGGGTGCTATGTGCTCTGAAGTGATAATATTGAATGAATTATTGAGCTGAGCTGCCGAAACTGCCTCTGCCTGTGGCTGGTCTTGAGCAGCTCAGAGACAAATCACATTTATTCATTGAAATGCCAGTGGAAGGGATTTAAGCAAGAATGTGTTATCTTGGGCTTACAAGGGGTCTGGATACAGGCTGAGCAGTGGCAGCCGTCTGCACGTTCCCTTGTTACACCAAAGTGTCAGTGCCCACTTTCCCGGGTGGGAACTGCTCCTTGCACTCCTGCTCCTCCAGGCAAGGCTTCCAGTTTTGGGGGGCTTGGTTTGAGGTATATGGGGGTTTGGGGTTTTTTTTTTTTTGCAAGTAGTCAGCAGTGAAGAGTGGTTACCCAGTGAGCTGAGCTCCTCTGAATATCTAGTCCTTTTCTGGGAACAGCACACTTCTGAGAATCTGATCAGCACTTCCCGGGGTGGATAAATGCGAGTGAGGTGACCGTGCAGCTCCATCCATCGTGCTTGTAGTGACCTGCACGGTCCCACTTCTGACAACCTTGTACCATTTCTGTACCAGGTTTGCGGATCAGTTTGGCACCCGAGCTGCCTTAATTCTCTCCTGTGCGTCTGGAAGTGCCTTCTTCCTGGTCATGTCCATCTCCACCAGCATCCCCCTCCTCTTCCTCTCCAGGCTGCCAGCAGTGTTCATGCACGGGCTACCAGGTAAGGTCGGTCAGGGCGGAGTGACTTTCCAAATGGGTTTTTTTGCCCGATTCCTCTCTTCTTGCTCATGTTGCTGGAAGTCAACAGGCTCAACAGCATGAAGGAAGCCAGGAGGAACATTTGATGGTTGTCAGGGGTGAAATGGTGAGAACACGAAGCAGCAGGTGTATTGGTTATGGAAAGCAGGGCTGGTAGCCTGTAGTCCCAGGTCCATTCTCCTGTATGATCTTGAGCAAATTGCTTGGACTTCACCGTTCAGATGCGGGTGATGAATACTTGCTGGCAGCAGTGCTACCCCAAGCTTCTCAGCTGCCTTCTTGTAACCAGGATATTTTATAGGAGAGCTTTTCCCTTTCTTCTGGTAAAATGAGCATATTAGTCAAAACGAAAGGTGGTTACAAATGTACCTTCCATTACTCACCAGCTGTTCTGCTTTAGTTGGCCTTTCCTAGATGTTTCTAGTAAAAACCATATCACAACCTTTAGCTACCAGAAGTCTGTGTAACTCGTGCAAGAGGACTCAAGTTGATAGGGTGTTAAGGCTCTTCTTGCCACTTGTGACGTGGTTTATTTGAGTGGTTTGAGTGTTTTGTTTCCTGCGACTGACGAGCTGAACCAATTCCACTCAGCAGCGTGCACGAGCATTTGCCCTGGGGTTGCAAGGACTGTTTTGTGGCAGGTGCTGTTCCTGTGGCCTAAACACTTATACCCACTGCTCAGACCCTGTGACAAGCTTCTATCAAGGGATTTGTTTCCCTGCAGGTGCTCAGAAGCTTATTACAGACCTGACGACTCCTTCCCAACGCGCTGACGCTTTGGGGAAGCTGGGTCTTTGCTTTGGAATAGGCATCATCATTGGCTCTGCCCTGGGAGGTGTCCTCTCCACCGCATTTGGGTGAGTGGTCCACTTGTTCGGTGTTGGCCTTGTTGCAACCATTGAGGGAGCTGCTAAGGGGTGTTTTGCTTCCCCCCCAGCTTTTGATGGTATCTTACTGCTGGTGGCAGTAGAGGATCGTACCAGAACTCAAAATCTGGCTTTCCATACTGCTACAAAGAACTACTCCCAGTGTTTTTAAGGGGACTTCGTTGAAAATCTCATCTTCTGTCTACTTAAACTGATTTAAAAACAAGTTGAAGTGAGAAATGGAGTCTATCTGTCTCCCAGTTGTCTTTTCTTTGGAGCTGAGCGTGCTGAAAAGCAGCCCATATTGCATCACTTGCTTTTAAGAAACGGTGTTGAACAACCGAGAAATGGAAACCGGGAGGGGTGTGAAACTCGTGGGGAAATTGGGGTGCTTGGGGGATGCTCAATGTAAGACCTTGGGAAAGGGGAAAGCAAGCTTGGGAGAGTGGGGGAAAAGAGTGAGGAGGTCTAGCCCTGTCGCAGCAAGATGAAGCATGCCTGCTGCTTCCCTGTTTGATTTCCACAGCCTGGCACCTTGTAGTGGGCTGCCACCTTCTCTTCTGTGCTGCAGTAGGAAAGAAATGCCTGATCTTACTGTATTTACCGGTCTCTGTTCATTATTAGTAAAGGAAGGTCAAAAGGTGTGGTGTGTCGGAGAACTTTGCAGGCAGGGAAGTGCAGGTGGCTGTGATCTTCCTGGAAGATTCCCCAGCATTTCTCTGGTGGGGAAAAAAAAAAATATCCCTTGTGAACTTTTGAGCGTTTATTTTGCTCTGCTTCTTTGATTATGGACACTTGCTTCTGCAGATTCTGGTTAGCATGGAAATAACTTTTTGCAATCTTTGCAAGCATTATAGCTGCTCTACAGCGTAGGATAGAAGTTAAAAATCATTAGGGGGAGCTCTGGTTTTCAGGAATTGGGCCCCACTCCCCTCAGTTGTACAGCAATGCTATCTCATTAAAAATCAGTTTTCATGAACTTCAGGCAGCTAAGTCAGATGTCACTGATTTTTTTTTTTTCATGATCCTTTTCCTAGCGCCATAAGCACTGCGGACTGTACGTGGTGCTGTGTCACCTGGGCATTTTTCATAGGGCACACTCAGTTACGGTGCTGGGCGTCGTGCGTCGGTCTCTGAACCCTGTTGTGCATCCACATGCATTCAGGTGCTGCAGTGATGCTACTTTGCATCTCAAATCTTTGCAAGGTTAATTGAGTAGAAGATTTTAACCTCGCCGCCTTAGGGAGTAGCCCCTGAAAACTCTGTTTGCTGCTGTACCGTGGCGGTGTTGGGCCAAATTAATTGCTGCAGACAATCTCAGGAGTTTTCTTCCTCTTGCCTGAAACCCGAAAAGGTTTTCCTTAATTCTTTTGTGCTTGGTGCCTGTTCCGTGTTGGCCAATCGACACAAGACTAGCTAGGAGGATTCATTTTGTAGTTGTTATATGGTTACATAAAATGAAAATTGGGCATGTACATAATATTAACTAATTCAGGATTTTAAAGTATTTATAGATGTTGATGGTTGAGTGGGGTTTTAATAGGTATCATTTTTAATCAAATACAGTGATTGTATCCCTTCTGTGTGTTAACTGCCTGAAAGTAAAGGTTACCTCAGTTCTCAGCTTCATCTTTGGTTATATGCCCATATTTAAACATCAACATTCAAGTAGCATTGTTATCTAGCAAAAATTTATGGGGTTTCACTTTCCAGCGTGTGCATCAGTCGCTGGTTTATAGAAAAATCAGGAGTGGGAGAGAATCCCCTGTTTCAGTTAATTAGTTAGAGACGCTTGAATGCAGCCCGGCTTCTGGATGTCAGGGCTTGGTGCTGTCAGACCGCAAGGTGCTTCCAGGCTCCCCAGCTCGCTGCTTATTTTGAAAGTTTCTGGCCCTTAGGCTTTGTGCAACGTAACACTGAGAAAAGGGAACCTTGCCCCTAATTATGGGAAAGTAAGGGACCTGCACCTGAAAACCGATATCGCTTTCGACTTTCCCGTCGCAGGGGGTTGTTTCCCTCGCATCCGGCGGAGGGCAGCTTCGGCTCGCAGTTCACATGCTGCCGCTGGAGCATCCCGTCGCGGAGGTTTTGGGGCTGTTCCTGCCATCCCATAGCAGGACTGGGGAAAGCAGCCTGTCTGCCGGCAGCATTTGGTTTTCTCCACGAGGATCTATGCATCCCCCCTGGAAGGATGGTGGGAATTCCCATTAACAAGGGACAAAGCCCAGCGCGCTGGCAGGACCCTTCTGACCACCCTGCTGTGCCGAGAGTTGGTTTGATTTTATAAACAGCAGCTCCAGGCTGAAGGACTGCACAGAGAGGCCACTCTGGGCGTTTGGTAGCCGCCTTTGCCACAGCCAAATCCCACCTTTGCTCTGACACCGTCCTTAGCTCCTCTGCCAGATTTCTGTGCAAAGATTAGAGGAGCCAGTCTATTGATTTTTAGTGTTTTGTCTGATATTGGTGGTGAGTGGGAGTTCAGCCCTGCGAGCAGATGAAGACAGCTCCGTGCCACGGAACAGCCCCCAGCGCATCCCCAGCGCCTCTGGCTGTGTCTGCAGCAGTGACCTGGAGGGAAAGGAGTGGGTGTCGCATTATGGACGCACCCAAGGCTCCTTCGCCCTGTATCCCACAGGTTGGCTGTTAATCATCCCTCCCTGTTTCCCACATTTGTACAGGAAGGCTCCAGCTGTACTTGGAGCTGCGTAATTGCTTCCATTTTTTTTTTTCATAGAAGAATGACCCAATCTCCTTCCTTTGAAAATAAGCGTTTCTGCCGTGTCATGGAGCAAAGCTGGAGATTTCTGTCCACTCTGCATTCTTCGCTCTCCCTCACCACAAAGCTGGCCCACGTTCCCCGTCTGTTGTTGACAGCATTATTCATATGTTACAGTGGTTTGTATACAAGAGAGGGGTAGAAATCAGTCTCAGTTCCTCAGCTGATGTCATTTTGGTATTATTCCACTGTATTGTATTTACCATTGATGTACTTGACCTAAAGAGCTGGTCTGCTGTTGTTTTCATTGTTGGAATAATATTTGTCAACCCTTATTTATTAAGGGAGCCCCAGGGAAGTTGAATGGCTTGTTCTGATTTGCATAAGATTTTCTGAATGTCAGATGCTGACCTCCGCTCCTAAGCTGCAGCCACCAGCTCCAGCCCTTCCTCTTCCTCTCTCTGAAGTACTACACTTTCCCCCCATGTTTTCCAAAACTTTGAATGAAGCTGTAGCAAAGGAATTGTGACTTTTAGTCAGACGTGGACATGTTTCATCTGTGAAATGCGGCTTTGCCTTTTGCAAATCAAGGAGCTGCTTGCCAGCTGGCTTCACCCTACCAAATTTACTTGCTGGAGACCTTGCTCTTAATATATAGCCCTGTCCACCCACCCCTGTACAAACAGGGCGTACAGCTGTGAAGAACGTGCTTTCTATGGACAGGGTGATGGTCAGGCAAATTTACACCACCCGAGGATCAGGTATAAGCCAATTTATTAACACAAGCAGTTGTAATCTTAACCGTTTGGAAAATGTTTTCATGTTTGTATGCTGCTTTTTTCTTTTTTAAAATTGGTGTTTTCTGGTCAATGATCAGTTGGATCAGGATTGTGGATACAAAATACCTAACTTGAAAATAACTCCTGTAGTTCAGTCGAGGTCTCTAGGTTCTTGGAGAGTCTGCAAGCTCCATCACAGCTCATCCACAGAAGATGACTATGAAAAGGAGCTCTGTTTGCCCTCTGCGCGTCTTCCCCCCTCCCTGTACGCTTACTGGAAAGCTGTTAGGGGACCACAGGCTGCAGGTGAGTGTGTACCCCTGGAGAGAAGTGATATGGTATTTGTAGTAGGCTTTTGTGGCAGCGCTGTGGGTGAAGGGTGAAAGAAGAAGGCTGGATTAGTCTTCAAAAGTGGAAAGATGAGCCTAGGTAGTTAATTACAGAGATTTCATCCTTTCTTCTGGGAGTATGATTAATTGCATTTGGCTTCTTTCTCCTTTCTTTCTAACAAGGACGTACAGAAGCTTTGCTGCATGACCCAAGATTTGTTTGCTTTCTATGGACAAGGAGAGGTTTCTTCATTTCAGTGACTCAGCTGTAGGCTTAAATCTCTTGGAGCAATTATTCTTTTGAACTTGGGATTTTCCTGGCCAAACCCCTTTGGTCTCTTATTTAATATTATTACAGCAGGCTTTGGGGATAGTTTTTTTTTTTCCTGGCTGTGCTATTATCCTTCTTCCTCAAGGGGAAAAGAAGGAGCTTGTTCGCCCGGAGTAGGGAATTGCATTTCTTTTCAATAACCCATTTGAACAATGTCCTCTGGCAGGGAATTTCTCATTGCTTCACGGCAGAGTGGAAAGACTGTGGGTGTTGAAAGGGCTGAAGGTTGGGAGCTGGGAAGGCGGGTGGGAACATGGCAAAGGGTGAGAGGGTTGCACTCCATTTCGGGACAAAGCAGGGTATTCTGCTGCCGGGAGCTGCTCCTGCTCCCTTCCAGTAGAAACCGTGGTATTTCTCTGCCAGGGATGATGTCGATTGGCCAAGCAGCGTGGATCAGTGATGCTTGTACAGGCGTTGCTTTGTCCTTTGTGTCAAGGGACTTTGGGGAGAGGGAGGTGGTCTCTGCTTGCCAGCAAGTCATCCACGAGCTGCAACGCGGTCTGTCACCGTCGGTCGAGCTCTCTGGTGCCTTGGGAGAGATGGGGAGGGAATAGTGAATGGGCTGTTTGTCAAGGAGCTGATGGTTTGGGGAAGGCACAGAGGACCTCAGCTGTGGCCTTCTGTGGAAAAATAAACCAAAACAAAACAGGATCCAGAGATTCTTTTTCTCATTTACTCTGCATGACAACAATCTTAGTTTTGGAAGCCATGGTACCAAAGCTTGTCTCTAAGGTCTATGTTAACTGGGTCTGGATAGAGGATCATGCACATCATCCCTCCACAACTTATTGGTTCAGAGTTCAGGTCTAGGGCACTTTTCTCCTCTCCTTTACTCA